CGAGCTGTTGATCCAGAGGCAGCTGAGGGGGGAGGGGGAGAGTGGGGAAAGATGCGTAGTTGACAGAATTAATCAATAAGCCCAGGCTTATCAGTAAATCGTTTAGTTGTCTGCACACTGACATCCCTAATGCGAGGGGTGCAGTTTCCATTTGGGGATACAGGCTCTCAGGTGGTAAATAGGCCAATGGTGGGAAGATAGGAGTTGCTATAGAAAACTTTTTTCTGGGTGTCTAGCTTGTGATTCTTGCCCACATGCTCAGGGTTCAGCTGATCACCATATTTGGGGTTGGGAAGGAATTTTCCTCTAGGGTAGATTGGCAGAGGCCCTGGAGGTTTTTTGCCTTCCTCTGTAGCATGGGGCACGGGTCACTAGCGGGAGGATTCTCTGCATCTTGGGGGACTTTGAACCATCGTTTCAAGGACTTCAATATCTGAGATATAGGTGAGAGGATTATTCTAGCAGTGGGTGGGTGAGATTCTGTGGCCTGCACTGTGCAGGGGGTCAGACTCGATGATCATAATGGTCCCTTCTGACCTTAAAGTCTATGAGTCTATGAGCTGTTCACAGTGCGGGGCCTATGACCCGCAGCTAGGCTGGACTGATTCTCTCCACACAGGCTAGGCAGTTAATTACACAGTTACAAAGATCCCCTTAGCAAGGGTGAAACTGACAAGACAGGAGTGAAGCCTCAGTCCCTGGCCAGCCGGCTGCTCCTGCTTTGGAGAGGAGCATGTGTAGGAGCCTGGCCCAGCTGGCGGCAGGATGGAGGACCCAGCCTTACCGATGCAGTTGTCATTCTGCACTTCGTAGCCCGGGGGGCAGATGCAGCGGAAAGAGCCTTCCAGGTTCTGACACGTGCCCGGGAAGCAGGTACCCGGCAGGCTCACACACTCGTTGATGTCTGCAAGGACGCAAGAGGGGCTGGACTCTGGCTGCTGTGCCCTGCGAAGCTTCCTGGACAGGGCCCCCACAGGAGTAGCAGGGGGAGCGCCAGAGCAGGCCCCACTGCTCCCCATGGCCCCTCTGGACCCCGTGCTCCCGGCTCCTCCCCTGGGCCCCGTGCTCCCGGCTCCTCCCCTGGGCCCCTCTGGGCCCCGTGCTCCTGGCTCCTCCCCTGGGCCCCTCTGGGCCCCGTGCTCCCGGCTCCTCCCCTGGGCCCCGTGCTCCCGGCTGCTTCCCGGGCGCCCCTGGGCCCGGCTCCGGCC